GGGCACACCCCCCGCCCCCCTGGGGCCACCAGCAAGCCCCAGGGCTCCGAGTCGGCCCCACCTCGGGCTCCTCCCCGTCTCAGCGCTGCCAGTGACCGTGGGGGGGTTTATTTTCCCTCCTCCTCTTGTCACTGGCCCCGGTTCCTCTGGACGTGCTGCTGCTGCTGCTGTGCTCAGCCACGGGGTCCAGCAGCCTGATCCCGATGGACACACAATCCAGCCAGTGTGTTAATCCCGGGTTTCCTGTGGGAGGAACAGCCTCCTCTTCCCACCCCCCTGGGCCCCACACTTCCGCTCCTTGTTTCCCTTAGTCCACCCCAAACAGCCCCCAAAACACTCAAACCATGCAAGCGATGCCTGGTCGGTACCATGACCATATTCCCACCTCCTTCCCAACCATTCCAGACCCTGCTCAAGCATCCAGCTCATGCTACAACATCCTGGTGCTCCTTTACCTCCAAATCTTGATTCCTAACCTGACTCCTGCTTGAGTAATCAGTATCTCCAGCCCAGTCTATGTAGAGTTGCAACCACTTCCCTAAAGGAGCTATTTTGAAGTGGAGAAATATCCCTCAGAAAAGCCACCAAAACCCACCTTTCTCCAGGAAAGCCTCAGTTTAACGCATGAACATCTTCAGGCCCTCATTAAAGTGAGCAAGATACTTGCAGGGGACTGCTGAAGGACAACCCTCAAGCAACAGGACAGTCTATGACCCTGCCCCATCCCAGGCCTTGCTGGGGGAGGGCAGCAGGGACCCAGGGTTCATTTTTCCTCCTGCAACAGACCCTCATGTCCAGCACCTTGATCTTCAGCCACAGCCAGGTCAAGGTCAGAGCTCCCTGCAAGATCAAGCAGGCAGCCAAGGGTTCTGGGGAGACCTTAGAGCAGCTTCCAGTGCCTGAAGGGGCTCCAGGAAAGCTGGGGAGGGACTTGGGACAAGGGCAGGGAGGGATGGGAGGAGGGGGAATGGTTTTAAACTGGAAGAGGGGAGATTTAGGTGAGACACTAGGAGGAAATTCTTTGGTGTGAGGGTGGTGAGAGCCTGGCCCAGGTTGCTCAGGGAAGCTGTGGCTGCCCCATCCCTGGCAGTGTGGAAGGGCAGGTTGGATGGGGCTCTGAGCAACCTGATCTAGCGGGTTCTATGGCAGGGGCATTGGAACAAGATGATCCTTAAGGTCCCTTCCAGCTCACACCACTCTGTCATTCTATGAAAACCACAACACAAACATGTTACAAAGCCAGGACCCAGGTCACCCCCAGAGCCAGCACTGCACCCAAGTCCAAGTCTCCCATGGGTGAGAGGCTTTGCTTTTCCACTCCAGGCTGGGGATTCATGCTGCAGGACAGGTGGCTGTGTTCCAAGGAGGGGAGTGTTAGAGACAACCAGCCAGCACAGCCTCCCTGCTCTGTCACAGCAGGGGCAGGCAGAGGGGTGCCTGGAGCAGGGCACAACCTTCCCTTCCTGTGCCTCCACCAGAGCTCTGAGGGACCATTCAAGGACCATGTTATCCTTGGCCTCCTCTCACACATCCCGCGGTGGGGCAGGGCCCACGGGCAGGAAAACCTACTCCTCAGAGGTGGAGGGTAATGAGCTCCATCGTTTCAAAGGCTACATATAAATGGATGTACAAACATCAGGAAACACTTTTGCCTGGAACAGCAGCTCGTGGGGGAAGCTCATGGCAGGAGAAATCCAGCAGCAGCTTAATGAGCTTCCTATTACCTCTCCTTTGTCTCTGGCACCCAGCACAGGCCACTTGCTCTAAACCCAGAGCAGATGTAACCCTGCTGCTTTGCCCCAGCAGCCTCACAGCATGTTGCTGTTGGAATAACATGGGCACATCCCTCCAGCTGCATCCCTCTGTCCTCCAGCTGCCAGGTCTTCCCAGAGCTGTGTGCTCCCAGGGTGGCAGAGAGTTTGTGACACACAGCTTGCTTCCCAAACCCCACCAAAACAACCCCAAAACTGTGCTCAGAGTCAGTCTGGCTACAGATGGGTGTGCAGCCCTGAGAAGGGGGAAAGCAGAGGGTGAGACAGCTCAGCAACACCAGGCTCCAGCTAAGGCTCTCCATGTGCATCCAGACACCACAGGAAGGATAAGGATGCAGATCCCAGCCTTCAGGAGTGGCTGGAGAGCCAGAAAGAGAAAAGCTGTTACCAAAAGGCTCCAACTGTATTGTTTTCATATCTCCTGGCAGGTCAAGAGCACAGAGGCCTAGACAGAGAGAAGCTGTGAGAGCTGTTTGCACACCTGCCTTTCCATGAGCCCTGCCCCTGTTTTCCAAACAACAGCAAGAGAGGGAGAGGAGAGGGAAACAGGGATGGATTTCATATGAGAGGCAGCACCCCTGCCTTCAGCAGAGGAGAGGCCAGGGTTGGGATGAAAGGCAGGACACAGGCTGCGCTGCACATCCTGGTGTGGAGCAAACCCTGGAGAGATGCAGTCCCCAGCCCTCCCCTTGGGCCAGGGGCAACCAAACCCAACCCCTCACAGAGAGCATGGAGATTTGCTGAGGTGTCTCTGGAGGAGCTGGAGCATCCCAGAGGTTTGTCCCATCTCTGAGCAGGAGGAGGGACCTGCCCTGCCTGTGCAGCCACCGGTGGGATTGTGACAGCCCTGCCTGTCTGTGGGGTGGCACTGGGGGTGGCAGAGGATGGCCAAAAGGCCCATCCCGACCCCAGGACCCTCCCAACTGCTTGGTGGCCCCCAGCTGCTGAGCAGGCAGAGAGGTGGGATGACTCTGTCTCCTATCCTTGGCTCAAAAGCCACTCACCAGAGCAGAGCCCAGCAGCTCCCAGCTGCAGGGACAGGGGCAGTTCCTGCCCAGTGCAGCCACCCTCTTTTTCCACTCAGCAGCTGTCACAGCGCAGTGATGGAAAGAGAACGGAAACAGGGATGGGGGCTGTGAATTCCTTCCTAAGCTTCTCCAGAGAATCCGCCAAAGCCATTTCCCTTCCTCTTCCCACAGGATGGGAATGAGCAAGAGGACATGTATCTTGTGACTTGTGCTGCTCTTGCCTCAATCCTCCTTCCAAGAAGCTTTGGCAACCCTGGCTGAGGCTCCAACCTCCCTCCTGGCAGCTGGAGCACTGGGGGTTTGTTTGCTGGCTCCAGGTTGGGGCAGATGCCTCCTGGCTGCCCTGCTCCCACGCTGCAGAGAGCACAGGTGACAGGTTTGTCTTTACTAGAAGCAGGAGCTGGCACCTGTGCCAAGCTAAACCACACAGTGGGAATGATGGGGAGCACAGCATGAGGGGAGGAAGAAACAAAAACCAGATATAAAAGTTAAAAGGAGATAAATCTTCACAGAATCACTCTGGTTGGAAAAGTCGCTTAAGGTCATTGAGTCCAACCATAACCTAACTCTACCAACCATAACCCAACTCTACCAACCATTAACCCAACTCTATCAAGTCCAATGCAAAAAAACATATTCCTAAGCACATCTTCAGCATGGACACCCCGCAAGAAGGCAGTGCTTCTCCAGAGTTGACCAAGATCCAAACCTCCAGTTCATCAACCTGCAGCTTGTGCCCTTTTGGCCCCACAGCTCCTTAGGCCAGGTTCAGAGAAGCAGAAGCCAACCTAATCAGGAACAGCCACCTCCCTGCATGCAGGAAGGCTGGTGGGGTGGGAGAAATTCCAGTTTCTTACCACTGTTTGAGTCCTGCACGCAGAGGGAAGTGTCACAAGAAGGGACATGCATTCCAACACAGATACCATGGTGCTGGCAGCCACAAAATGAAAGCAAGGAAGTGCTCATCAGTAGAAGGGTCTCATCTTTAAACCAGGTGGGAGTTTCAGTGGTGGGGAGCTCCAACAAGAGGTAATTCAGTGTGCTGATGGACGTGGAGAGAGGATCCCACTCCCATCGCCTTCCAGAAGAACATATATTTGTTTTGAATGTATTTATACAGATGGGATTGACCGAGTCATCTTTGCAGTCTGGAGTGTCAGCAGATGAGATCCTTCCTGGAAGATGGGAGTTTCCAGGTCAAGCAAAGTGCCAAAAGAAAAAAAAAAAGGTCCAAGCCTCCCAAGGGCCAAGTCCCAGAGCTGATCTGCTCCAAGCTGTTTGTTCAAGTTGCTGTGAAAGAGGTCACAAAGAATTGCAAAAAACCACCCAATTTACCGTGGGAACTCTTCTGGCTGGTGTTTTTATTCCTCTGGACAAGAACATCAGCCAAATTTCCAGTCAACTGAAGTGAATCCTTTTGGAAGGGGTGAGATGAGAGCTCAGCTGTATGTCCA